ATAATAACTTATAAATTATCAAGGGCTCATGATGGAGGGGGGAGCAGGGTGGGAGGGGGGAAAATGAGGAGCTGATGCCAGAGGCTTAAGTGGAGAGCAAATGTTTTGAGAGTGATGAGGGCAATGAATGTACAAATGTGCTTTACACAACTGATGTATGTGTGGATTGTGATAAGAGTTGTATGAGTCCCTAATAAAATGATTTTTTTAAAAAGTAAAACAAAAACAACCCCCCCAAAACAAAAACTAAAGCAGTGCCAGAAACACTTGTTATTTTATTCCAAGACAATTGGAAGGCAGCTCCCTGGCCAACTGACTGGGAGAGATCAATATTTATACCCATTCCAAAGAAAGGCTATTCAGCATAATGCAGAAATTATCAAATATTATCATCAACATCCCATACAATTAGACTTCTGTTGAAGATAATTAAACATCTACTGCAGTAGCCCATCAACAGGAAGCTGCCAGAAAATCAAGCCAGATTCAGAAGCGGATGTGGCTCGAGGGATATCATTGTCATCAGGTTGACCTTAGAGCCTATCAGAAAGACAATTGTATTGTATAGACCATACAGAGACATTCCACGGAGTGGATCATAAGAAACTTTGGATGACAGAGATGAATGGGAACTCCAAATCACTTAATTGTTCTTATTTGGAACCTCCACACATACCCAGAGGCAGCCATTGGAGTAGAACAAGGGAATACCGCCTAGTTTAAAATCAGGAAAAGTGTGCGCCAGCCTTATGTCCTTTCATCATACTCATTCAATCCATATGCTGAGACAGTTAAAAAAAAGATGGCCCACATGAAGAAAAATGTCGCATCAGGATTGGCAGACGGCTCATTAACAACCCATGATCTGTAGAAGACAACACCCTGGCTTGCTAAATTGAAGAGGTATGAAGCACTTAACTGATGAAGGGCAAGAAAACTGGACCAATAGACAACATGGTGACAAATGGAGAAAAGACTGACGTTTAAGGATTTCATCTTCCTTAGATCCACAATCAATGCTTGTGGACGTACAAGTCAAGAAATCAAACGATGGGTTGCGCTGGGCAGTTCCATTGCACATGACCTCCTTACAGCGTTGAAAATCATAGATGTCACTTTGAGGACTAAGACGGGCCTGAGTCAAGGTAGGGTATTTTCCATTGCCTTATATGCATGTGAAAGCTGGACGATGTATCGGGAAGAGCACAGAAGACCTGGCGCCTTAGAGTTGAGTTGGTAAGTACCCTAGACTATTAGAAGAACAAAGAAATCGGTCTTGGAGGAAGGATCCTCAGGATGCTCCTCAGAAGCGAGGATGGCGAGATCTTGTGTCCTGTGCTTTGTATACTTCATCAGCAGGGACCAGTGCCTGGAGCAGGTAGGTCTCTTGGTAAAATAAAAGGTTATGGTAAAGAGAAAGACCCTACGGAGATGGATTGACACAGTACCTGCAACAACGGGCTCAAAGGTAACAATAATTGTGAGGATGGCGCAGGACCCGGCAGTGCTCTGTGTTGGTGTAGAGAGTAGCTGTGGGTCTGCGTTGACTCGAGGGCACCTAACAACACAGTAGAGTGAAGCGCATATGACAGCCCTGGCTGAGAAACGTTTCGCACAGGAAAGGACAAAGGCAAAGGCACACATGATCACTCTCTTTCTCCAAAAAGTACAGAATGTTGAGCTTTAATGCTTTTGTTGAATATGGAGAAATTCAGGAGCTAATGGAGTAGACTTGGGGGCCAGCCTTAGATTTGATCCTATTAGAGACAAAAACCCCATCAACCTCTTAAATATTTATTAAGTGCATGCTGTATTAAGCTCTTGCACCGAGACTACAGGATGAATGACATAGGGCTTGCTCTCAAGGTATCTATCTATACTTCAAGGAATATATATACACATATACACATATACATACATACATATAGATATATACATATAGCTTAAGAGCAATCCCTCTCATTATGTATATAACCAATTAGCTAAGGAATGCTTCAGAATAAAAGTCACAGAGGCACAAAGTCCTGCGAGTCATTAACATGTAGGGATGGGGAAATAAATAAGTACCTGCAAAAATCACCAAAGAACGAATCACCACTAAAAAATCAAAACAAAACAAAAGAGAAGGTCAAGAGAGAGGGAAACATTTAGGAGGCAGAGACGCTTCAGGTACCGTGGAATGAGGACACTGAAGGAGGGAGTGGTCAGCCGGGATCTCTCTGCTGAAATAGCCAGCCGGTTAAGGGCTAAAGAAGGTCTGATAGGTCTTGCCACAAAGAGCTCCTGGGAAATCTTGTGGGCACTCATTCTTGTGGCTTGTTGAGAGCAGAGTCCAGATTAAAGTGATGACGAGTGAGTGTGTGATAAGCCATGTCAATATTAAGAGGTACCAATCAATTTAAACGAAACACTGTCCAAAGGCACTATTACTATATCCATTGCCACCAAGTTGATTCCTTCTCATAATGACCCTATAGAGGGGTAACATTTCCCATTTCAACACACCCTGTTAGTGTGTATGTGGGTGTGTTGTCACATCATAACAACGACCAGTTCTGTAGATGCTATTGAAAGGCTTATTAAGTACAATCTCATTACAGCAGCATATTCAATATATAGAAGAGGTCAAGATAAGCAGGCTTACCTGGTTATGCCATCCTTTAAAATTTTAAAGCAAAACCAAAAACGTATGAAACATAGAAGACTAGGTTCTTCTAGTCCCTGCGTGGCACAAACGGTCACTACTATGATTATTGGTTGAAAGACTGGCTATTCAAAATGACCCAGGGGTGTCTTGCTTCTGAAAGGTCACTGCCTTGACAACCTTATGAAGTAATCAGGTCTGTCTTGCACGCATGCCATGGGAGCACCATGAATTGACGGCGACTGACAAGACTCGCTCCAGTCATGTTGACAGGGAACTGTCGATCCCCATCCCCTATGTGACATATAAGTTATTGCATAGAATTCTGTTTCCTATTTTATTCTTATTAATCATTTTATTGGGGACTCATACAACTCATCACAATCCATACATCCATCCATTGTGTCAAGCACATTTGTACATTTTTTGACATCATCATTCTCAAAACATTTACTCCTTGCTTGAGCTCTTGGTATCAGCTCCTCATTTTCCCCCTCCCTCCTCATCTCCCTCTCGTTCACGAACCCTTGATAATTTATAAATTTTTATTATTTTGTCATATTTTACACTGTCTGACATCTCCCTTCACCCGCTTTTCTGTTGTCCAACCCCCAGGGAGGAGGTTATATGTAGATCCTTGTAATCTCTTCCCCCTTTCCACACCACCCTCTTCCACCCTTCCAGTATCGCCACTCTCAGCACTGGTCCTGAAGGGATCATCTGTCCTGGATTCCCTGTGTTTCCAGTTTCTATCTGTACCAGTGTACATCCTCTGGTCTAGCCGGATTTGTAAGGTAGAAGTGGGATTATGATAGTGGGTGGGGAGGAAGCATTTAGGAACTAGAGGAAAGTTTTATGTTTCATTGTTGCTACACTGAAACCTGACTAGCTCATCTCCTCCCTGAGACTCTTCTGTAAGGGGATGTTCAGTTGCCTACAGATGGGTCTTGGGTCCCCAATCTGCACTCCCCCTCATTTACAATGATTTGATTTTTGTTCTTTGATGCCTGATACCTGATCCCTTCGACACCTCATGATCACACAGGCTGGTGTGCTTCTTCCATGTGGGCTTTTTTGCTTCTGAGCTAGATGGCTGCTTATTTACCTTCAAGCCTTTAAGACCCCAGATGCTATATCTTTTGATAACCAGGAACCATCAGTTTTCTTCACCACTTTTGCTTATGCACCCATTTGTCTTCTGATGTGGTGAGGAATCAAATCATTCACCCACAGAAATGGGTTAAGGTTTGCATCTCTGAGCTGGGCTTGCTTGAGAATCCATAACTGCCTTTGTGCATTCCACAGGGTTTGTGGGAGAATGGAGCAAGACCTAACAAGGATGTAGGACGACGTTTCTCCTTCAGCCACACGAGGGGGTAGGGGAATTGAACTTAGGGGCTATGAAATGATTCAAATTTATCTTTTGCTTTATTTGAACATTGGGTCAGACACATCCTTCTGAGTCAGGCTTGAAAAGTATATGGCTGATTTCTCTGGGGCTGGCAGGCATCACAAAGACACAAAACCTCTCCAGATTCTGCAAAAGGCAGTGCTATCGTGTCGATGTTTTATCAAAGGACCTAAGGCTGCCCAGCCACGGAAATAGTTGTCCCGAAGCTAGAAAGAGCCCCCTCAGGACCATTATTGCAGTTATCAGCTGTGAACTATCCTGCCAGACAGTGGCGTCATCTTCAGGCTGTTTTCCCCTTCCATATCGTTCATTTCTGTATCTTTCTGGGCTATATTCTCAGTGAATTACTCAAGGTAATTTTTGTCCCGATAACTAGATTGGTTTAATCCATTCATTAAAAGAGAGCTACAGGGGAGAAGTAAACAAATATCTGGCCACAGCTGCTTACCTTGGAGGAGTAGATTGCGATTGGGTTGGGGGTTGGTGTCAGCAGCGACACATGAAGTTCCTCGGGAACATCAGTAACTGAAGGGATTTTGTACTGGTTTGGACCACGGGTGTATAAGACTCCTTCAGGGGAATATTTCAGCTCCTCTATGGTGTACAGTCCAAGGCCTTGAGTAAATGCTCCTTCAATCTGAGAGAAAGCAAGAACGGGCACTCACTTTTGCATGACGTAGTGTGGATTTCCTCGTATCACCTGACAATGGAATTCCCATGACTGCCTGGCTCAGGAGTTCTAGTTCTCCACATTCTAGTTGCAAATGCAAATAATATCTTTCTGATATTCTTGGGCAGATTTTAGGAAAAAATGCCTGGACTTACTTGTGAAAACAACTAGTGCTATAATTCACTGGTCCTACAAAAATCACTTGCATAGTAGCGATTTTAGAAACAGTTCTCCCAGGCTGCAACCTCAGGAACAAGATTCATTCATCCCAACGTCGTTAGGGCAATGGGAGGGTAACTCTTCTCTCTCTTTCCAGTTTGCCCACGCTATACCCGGTTGCTATGAGTTGGAATCAACTTGATGGCAGTGGGCTTGGTTGTTTTTATTGTTGTTTTATTATGATGGGTCAAAAAGAAGAAGGATGAGGAAATAAAGTTAGCTAATAGAACCAACTAGTGACACAAAGGAAACAAAAGAAAGAAGATCACTTCTCTGAACAAATATCCAGAATGGGTAAAATACTAAATGCTTCCTGTATAGGATATTCACACATGAATTCACTTTTACCAGAGAAGAAAGAACGTACGTACCTGTCCTATGTCCACAGCTGGGTTGATACTGAAGGAAGCATCCATGACAATGTCAGTTCTAGTATTCTGTAGAGGATCGAAAACCAGCAGGTGGTTATGGTACAGGCTCCATCTTTTTCTAATCATTTTATCGGGAGCGCTAACATTCCATAGTTCAAGCACATCAAGCGGTATTGTACAATTGCTGCCACAGTCAGTTTAAAGACATTTTCTTTCTTCTTGAACTCCTTGAGATCAGCTCCCTTCCAGTTTATAAGCAACTAGATTGTTTTCTTTTTCCAGAGTTAAAAAGATGGTCATAAAATACCACAGAAAAACTCTACTCTTGGTAAAGGACTTTTAAAAGTCCCTTTTATCTTTTTTATATATCACAATAATATGACTACATAGGAATATATTTTTCAGATTCTTGCTTAGTGCATGGTGTACACTTAAAATTAGTGGCCCAATATTTCTTTCAATCTTAGAAAATTCTGTTTTAATTTCTCTGCCATTCCCTTATTTCTTACTTCTGAAATTCTTATCAGATATATGCCAAGGAATGTTAGTTAGTCTTTTATATCTTTTATTTCTCTTTCATATTTTTCTGGCCTAAGAAACTTCCTCAATATAATTTTTCAAAGTCACGAATTCTGCTTTTGACAGGGTCTAATCTAGAATTTTGTAAGTTCAATCAGTATATTTTTCACCATCAAGATATTTTATTGATTCTTTTTATATGTATTTGTTCTTGATTCATAGTCACTGGTTCCCCCCACCCCATACCCTCTTGTGTTTTTTTTTAATGGGTGTATTTCTTTTTTTTTGAAATCTTAAACATAATTGTCTTCAAGTTACTTTAAGTCTCTCTATTACATTCATCCATTGGTAAGATAGTCTCTCAGTTGTTGTATTGCACAGCATTAGTTTGTGTACTTGAAACTTTAAATCCCGAGTCCCCCTTTGTGGTGTGGCTTTTTACTCTTCGATCACTGAGTTAGGGTGGTTTGGGGGGTAACCTGACACTAATCCCATGCTCCTTGGTTGAGAACCAAATATTCTTTTGGCAGCTCTGGGTTCTTGGCCTACGAGGATATTGTCCTTGGGCTGTGTGACATAGCCATATTTCATACGGCTCATCTGGCCATAATTCCTGTGTGGTGTATACTTCTGGATGTTATGCATATGGTCCCATTTTGGAGAGAGTTCTCTGTGACAGGATTAAGGTGGGGTTACGTCCTGGCCTTAGTAGACGGTGTGAACCAAATCGGACACTTTGCTTCCTTGGGGGCATCTCTAAGACTGCTTTAGTAGAGGGTGGGATTAAGACACCATTCTTTGTTCTCTTTGGGGATGTGGTTGGCTAAAAGACAAACCAAACTTCAATCAAAACCATTCCTCAGTATATAAGAGCCATCTGGGACACAGATCAATTGCAGGACCAATTGGTTATCCGTAGTTTATTATTATCCACATAATCAAGTGCCTTGGCATAAAGAAGAAAATACATCTTTCTCATATTATCTGCTTTCAGCCAGGATCCCTCTGAGTTCAGCAATGAGATCCCTTGCTCCATGTCCTCTTCTGAATCCAGCCTAAACCTCTGACAGCTCTCTTCAATGTATTGCTGCAATCATTGTTGGATGACCTTCAGCAAAATTTTGCTTGCACGTGATATCATGTGAGCATTCTGTTGGGTCACCTTTCTTTGGAATGGGTGCAAATGTGGATCTCTTCTAGTCAGTTGGCTAAGTAGCTGTCTTCCAAATTTCCTTGCATAGACAAGTGAGTGCTTCCAGTGCTTTATCAACTTGCTGAAACATTTTGTTTGTATGACATTAATTCCTGGAGCCTTGCTGTTGACTAATGCTTTCAGTTCAGTTTGAATTTTAGCACTATTGGTTCTTGCTCATATGCCACCTCCTCAAATGGTGGAATGCTGACTGGTTCTTTTTGATATAGTGATGCTGTACTACTAATTAAGTTAAATTCATGACTTCAACAACCTTTTATGGAACACCTTTAAGGAGCCCTGGTGGTATAGTGGGTTATGCTTTGGACTGCTAACTCCTTGGTCAGCAGCTCAAAACTGCCATTGGGTCCTTGGGAACGAAGAGACTGTCTGTTCCAGTCAAGCATTACAGCCTCAGAACCCCAAGGGCCCAGCTGTGCTCTGCCCTATTGGGTTGCCAAGAGTCAACATTAATTCAACAGCAGTGGGTCTTTTAGGTGCAATGTACCAGGTACTGGGCTAGACCCTGGGTAAATGACATTGAGTGTAACATGGGGTGACCACTGATAGATCCTTTGCACGTCTTTGCCATTATATCACCAGGTCCCACTAGCTTTCCATCTGAAACATGTCCTGAATCTATCCCTTCCTTTCCGTTTCTATTGCTACTCCTCTAGTTCAGACCCTCGTTCTGTCTTGTGTAGATTATTGGAGACCTCTCATGTGGTCTACATGTTCTTGTTCTGCTTTTCCCCCAAATCCTTTCTCCACATCGTCACCTAATTGAACGCAGCCTTTCTATTACTGAAAACATCTCCCTTGGACTTGCATCCTACAGGATAAATTCCAAATGTGTCAGTGGGGTCCGCACATGGTCTCTATGATGCTTAACTCACCCAAGCCTCATCTCCCAAAATTCTATGCTTTTCTCGTTTTGCATTAATGTACTACTACTTGTGTTCCTTAGACTTAGCCTGCTGGGTTTGCTGTGTGTGTGTGTGTGTGTGTGTGTGTGTACGCGCATGTGTGTTTTCCTGTATAGTGAGCACCGTTCTGCTACCTCCTCTGCCTTAATTAATTCTATCAAACGAATCTTTCAGATTCTTTTCTCTGAAAGTTTTTTCTACTTCTTCCCCAATCCCAGGCTGAGTTACAAAAAAACCCCAATAGCAGTATTCCCTAATCAAATTGTATGAACATCGTATAGACATTGGACACATCTTTCAAGAATGGTTACAGCACTTGCAATAAATTAAGTCCAGCACTATATGAAAGGAATCATTTTTTTGCACATGATTGCTGACACAAAATTATAGTTTTTTACATATTTGCTGATGTGATAGCCAAAAAACCCGTTCTGTCTCAGCATTTCTATAAAAAGTGTTTCACACGATATTTGCTGCTTACCTTGTGAGCTCCTGTCAGACAGTCAATTTCAACCTCCGAGCAGGCGGCTCCAAAAACAAAGTAAGGCGGCATGTTCCCCTCTCCCTTCTCCCAGTCCATGTCAGCTCGATAGCCCCTGACAAGAAGGAATATAGTCTGTGGTCAGGTCACGGAATAGCAGCGGGGCTTTTCTTAAGGTTGGAAATAAAATAACTAAAATTGCCTTGAAAGAGTTCAATTATGCCACAAACACAAAATGCAACGTTTCTCAAAGTTTCACTAAGAGTTCAGTGCAGAGAAGGGACAGGGACCCACCATGAGGAGACCGAGCAGCCTCAGCTGGGAAAGATCGGTGGTGAAGAATCTGCTTTTAACTTTAAAAAGATCTAAAAAGGTAAAAGTTCACAACATATCCTCATTTTTCAATCTAAAGTAACATTTTAGATTCACGCAATTGGGGGGAAAAAGGAAAATACCCATAATATTTTCTGTTTTAAAACTATCTTGTTGCTGGAGACACAGTGTGAGAATTGTGCTGATCTGACCCGCCACACGGAGGCAAAACTCTAAGGGCGTGCAACAGAACAGCAAGGGGAGCAGAGCAAGGAAGTCCCCAGGGAATACCAAAAACAGACTTTGGGGCTAGGGCATGACACCCCATCAGACTCCACTGGAAAACACTCCTAAAGGTCAACAAACAGACCTTGAACTATTTACAGGCTTTTCTTTTTCTGTCATTGGTTTATTGTTGTTTTGTTTTCTTTTGTTGCTTTGTTTTGCTCTGTCTTGTTTTTGTGCATA